GCGCAGTATCATTTTTTTGTATGGACATCCTCAAGACTAGAAGCCAATCTTATTCGGCTCTATCTTACCTCTTGATATATATATTTATATATATATATATACTCACAAGTAAAAAAGGAAAATAAATAGGCAATAATAGATGTTGGATGGTTTGGCTAATTATCCTTCATATTGGTCATAGTACTTCTGCTTGAGTGTATGTGTGTGTTTGTGTGTGTTAATGGCTATTCGTAACACCGGTCCTAAATCAGAGTGATAAAAAAGCCTAATGTCAGGTTATGGTCATCAAGACTTAATGCCCAATGATAAAGTCATGACCGATACTGCGTAAGTCCGTAAACAAGTATGATTACGATAGTGAGATGTAGGCTTGTAAGTGTGAAAACTCAGACTACGAAACAGCTTGCCCTAAAATCTCAGTCTAGGGTCATTAAGGTTCAACCAATTAAAGAAAGGCATGTCTGGGGCTGCATAATCTGGTACTTCTGGTTTGATTAATGAGCTTAATCTAATATGCTGGACGAGTGTGAATGAAGTTATAACAATCACTGAGCAGAAAAATTATATCATCTCCGTTTGGATAACGGCTCAATAGCCTCTCTCTTCTTCAATCGACCGTCGTCTTCTGTTGAGATCGACCTTAGAATCTCTTCTTCGTGCACTTTGATACGGAATGAAAGTTTCTTCAACCATGTTATCATCTGGAACCAAGTTACTCTTCGTATCTACAATATAAACGTAGTTTCTCATCACATCAATTGTGTTCTCAGTTTTGACGGATTATGTTTGTGACGTTTAGTCGAGCCGAATCTTTTCGCAACCTCGTTGCTCACATTTTTGCTGATTTTTGCTATGAACATTCACGTCGTATCTCATTGCCTGATCTTTCTAAACTATCACCAAACGGCAGCTTCGTCAAAAATCTCCATAATGTATATTCAGATAAAGTAAAGCCTGAAGTTATAGTCTGCCTGGTTCGCGGAAGGTGACGAAGGACAGATAGTTGAATTTGTCCACAATCATACAAGCAAGTTTTGTGTTTTCATCACATTTCAGTTCCGGCAAATCAACAAACCTTCATGCGTCTGTACATTCAAATTGACTTTGTCATGAAACCGAAAAACCCAATGCCATCCAGACGGGATTGCAGGCTCGTCGAGTTTGTCTCATTGCTCCATAGCCGGCATCAGTGCGATTCATAGTATAAATGTGTGGTTCAAGAGACAAACAAGTTGGTAAATGTCGAGACGCAGAAGCAAGCTCAGGAATAAGGTCAGTTAAGGAGGGCAGAAGATTCGCTTGAATGTGTCGCAAAGTGAGATTTCGTGTAAAAGCCACCGTTTTTCGAGGTCAGACTCGCCAGCAGGCCTTCTCTTCGGCACCATTCGAGATTGATGCAACTCGAAATGGACATCAACCAACGGAACAGTTTTGGCAGCATGGCTTGAGAGACGACCTGGCCGGCCAGTATCAGGAATGGCCAACTCGACGAATAGACAGACTCTGAAAACGTCTGCAGAGGCGGGACTGCGCTGTTGTCCAGCAAGTCTAAATGCCCCCGTGGACAGCATCCCCTTAACCACGACCAAAAGAGGACCCAGTATAACTGGAGTAAAGGTATAGAGATTCCGGACAAAGTGGCTCTCAGGACGAGAGCAGAATGAAAGGGAAGCACAAATGCAAATCTTTATATGGGCCCACCTGAATCCGAGATCGCGATGAAAACTTGATCCAAGAGGCCCAGTCGTCCTGATCGAACGGGTCCTCGATGCTGATGATCGGGTACTTGGAAATCAAGCTCCCGTAGAGGTCGGACAGTTTGTCCGAGGAGAGCCAAAGAGTGGGATCTATGCGTCCGTCTTTGAAGTGGAGGTTATACTTGCCGCATTTGGTGAGGAACTCGCTGGCAGCCACGTCGATCAGGATCGCCATTTTGCCCACGTACCCGGCCGACTGAATGGTCTCTACGAGGAGGTCCAGGGCTGAAGGAAGTAAGACAGAGCATGAAAATGTTACACGGCGTGTGGTTTATACGAAAAGAAGACGAGTTTCGAGGAGGCTTTTGGTGTACAGTTGACGAGATCCCTTCCGTATCGACTGAAAATTGTGTGATGAATAGCTTCATGTAGATCGATGCCACTGTTAAGATGGGGTCGGACTCCTCTTGGTCA